GTCCCAGAAAACCGGGCGTCAGTGAGACAATCAGAGACAGCGCCGGTGCGCTGATACACAATAAGGAGCGCCGTATGGCTCGTTGGGTGGAACACTTTGAAGATCAGTTCAGCTGGCCTCCTGCTCCCGGACCTCTTTTTACTCAGGTGATGCAGGACGTGCCATGGACGGTTAGTTTAGAGCCTCCGTCGGAGGCCGAGGTCCGAAACGCGATCACAGCCCTCAATCGTTTTCTTGCCGCTGGCCGGGATTTCCTCCCACCTGCACTAATTAAGGATGGAGGTGAGGTCCTCTGCAGGGCACTGACCTCCATATTCGCACGTATCTGGAACGAAGAGTATGTGCCGGCTAATTGTAGCGAATCGATTATAATGGCAATATACAAGAAGGGCAGTCGCACAGACTGTGCGAACCACAGGAGCATTAGCCTAACGCCAGTTGTGACAAAATTATTGGCCTCGATTATCATTTGTCGCCTCACTGCAGAACGGGAATCTCGGATTATGGAAGAGCAGGCAGATTTTCGGCCAGGACGTGGCTGTATAGATTATATATTCACTTTGCGGCAGGTGCTAGAGGAGCGCCACGCATACCGCAGACCGACAATAGCTGTGTTCCTCGATTTCAAGAGTGCGTTCGATTCGGTCGATCGATCGATTCTGTTCGAAATACTTGCGCGAAAAGGTGTTCCCACGAAATATGTGAACATCCTTCGTGCTCTCTACTCGAACACTACAGGCCGCGTCAGGTCTATGGTGTCCTATCGGATAGCTTTTCGACTACAAGTGGCGTTCGTCAGGGTTGTCCGATTTCCCCGTTTTTGTTCAATTTCATCGCGGATTCTATCATGGAGTGTTCCCTTGCGGAATCTCACGATGTAGGTGTTGAAGTGCTGCCTGGTGAAAGGTTAGTTGATTTAGATTATGCGGACGATATCGTCTTGCTTTTCGACAACGTTGATGCGGCACAATCAACCCTGAATAGTCTGTCCAGAGTGGTCCCATTATTTGGCATGCACTTCGCACCTTCAAAGCGCAAAGTGTTGCTGCAGGACCACCAGCCACTTGATGACCCCTTGACGCTTGCTAACGAGGAACTAGAGGTGGTTGATCAATTCACTTACCTTGGCAGCTACATCAGCAATGATGGGCGCATAGAAACTGACGTGAGCTCACGCAATGCAAAGGCCAGAGCTTCCTTCTTGAACCTGCGTCATCTTTGGCGACAGAAAGGAGTTTCCCTCCGTCTGAAAGGTCGTGTATACAAGGCCACAATGAGACCCGTTCTGCTGTATGGTAGTGAAACTTGGCCCCTTCGGTCTGAAGATCTGAGGCGCCTTCAAGTCTTTGATCGTCGTTGTCTGCGAACCATTGCTGGTGTCGGATGGCACCAGCGTGTCCGCAACGATGATGTGCGTAGGCGAGTACTGGGTAGTGATAATCATGCTAGCTCATTAGAACAACAGATAGCACTGAATAAGTTGTGTTGGCTCGGGCACGTGCTACGCATGCCTGGTCACCGCTTACCTAGAAGGGCCTTGTTCAGTTTACCAGGTGTAGGATGGCGCAAGGCTCGAAGTGGACAGAAGTTGACTTGGCAGCGGGAAATGAAGTCACTGACAACTAAACTGGGTGCCGTTGGTCCGTCTCGCCTTCCGGGTTGGAGTCCACGTGACTCACCTTGTGCTTGTCTCGAGACTTTACAGGACATCTCGCAACCGACACCAGTGGCGCGTCTATTGCCGTCTCCTAGTCGGATTGCTTGTTTAAAGTGTGTTTGGTGCTGAGTTATCTGCGGGATCATTGCTGATTATGACGCGGGGCAGTGAAAGCCGCAAGGAAGCTGTCTCGCTGATGCCGCCTTATCTTTGCACGATAGCCAGCTGTCTGTGACGGTATGTTGTCTACACAAGGTGTAGGCGCCTTGACCCAGAATGTTTGCTTAGGGCATTAAGGTTTTCAGGTAAGTCCCTCTTTCTCTCCCCTTTTCTTATTCTTTACTTCATAGCTCCTCATGGTTGTATGGCAGCAAAGCATCAGTTCAAATGGCTGATGTACTGCTGTTGATGACGCGATCCAGGCATGGGAACCCTGGCTAAAACGCGATCTGGTTACACTGGAGACGCCCGAGCGAAGGGTAAGCAAAATGTGAAGGAATTGTTCCTTCCGCCATACCAAATGCGATTGAAAGCCTTGAGAGTGTACAGCGGAAGATATCGATGCTTATGGAATGATCACATTCTACCGTACCAGATCTTGTGAAACCCTGGTCACGCTTGCCGCCACCTGAAATTTAGCCGCAACACAAAACTAAGGGGTCACCAGCTGAAACGAGCCGTTCAATACAATCGGCTGCAATGCCGCCGGAATTATTTTTCTCTCAGAATTTGTCAAACGTGGAACGCTCTTAATACTTTGTTAGTTCTGCAGCCGCGCTGCCCAATCTAAAAAAAACAACTCGACGATACGTTACGCAATGTACATTACTCGATTTAAATTCTGTTTATTGAGTAAATACCACAAGACGCAGCAAACATCGTGCTTACCAACCCCCACATGCTAACGTGAATTTTATGGTGAATCCACAGATGCGTGTTTCATTTTACGGTCACTTATGTAATTCACATAAACCATCCCACGGGACCTGCCAAGCCTTGGCTCCTTTATCTGTATTACACAATTGTTCCATAAACCACAGTGTAAAGTCTGCTTAGATTGCCGGAATCATGGTTGCCCAAGTGGCCAACTATCTACAAAATCAATTCGTCGTATTGCAAAATGAATAAACATTACGATTGTGCCCGCCAAAAAGCCACACTTTATATAACACCTCCGCGAGCGAATATACTCACTTGTTTTAAAGTCTCTACACATTGATATCCCGCTGAACGACACTATCGCCCACCTCTGAGAGTTTAGCTCAAACTTAAGGTTCGACCACGGTTCCCCAGAAAAGGTTGTAACACACTCCTTTTATGCATGCATTAATAAAATTCAACTTGATAGGTAAACGGTGAGGCGACGGGTAGTCCATTCGACCCGATGAGGAGGCAGACACTATATACGAAAGGGCTCTGATAATTTCCTGGCTTTGACCAGAAAGAATAGTGTTAGTCATGAAATGACACATTTATACAATATTTTTACCCCTGAGTCGAATGCACTTAGTACAGCATATTTGTAACTTTTCTAAACCGGTCTTAAAATGTCAGTTGGTTGTGCCACAAACCAGCTGCCAGTAGCATCTTAATGTCAGAAGTGTCTCAAAATGTCATCCCTCCGGATGTTTCTTTGAGTTTTGGAAGAAATAATAGTCTGACAGGGTCAGACAAAGTGAGTAGGGAGGTGGTGGACAGATTGGAAACCCGGGATAGTCTCAACTCTTTTATTTTTGCAATCACTAGTCAAATATTTCGGTACCCATTTTGTTGAAAATTTACGCATATCCAGGATAGTAAAGATAACAAATACAACACGCTGTCGTGAGATGCCCAGTAGCTAATCAATCTGCTTCGGGGATATTTGCCGGTCTTCAACGATCAATTCATGGACAGCCTCGCAGGTTGCTGAGTCAGTTGAGGTTTAGGCCTCATCTTGAATGTTGAAATAACCAATCTTAAACGAAATATACCCACAGTGTTTGTAGCATCACAATGTGAATTTCCTTGGCAGACATTTTCTGGAGACACAAAACTTCATGACAGTCCGTTACTCAAACGACGTGAAATTGGATTCTGTCCCTACCGTCACAGCTGCTACCTAAAAATAACCAATTTGTTGGAATCATAAACACCTAGTATTGGTGCAGTTAGATATTAAAGTCCCAATGGCCCTGCACTATTTTCCTGTTTGGTCTGGAACGCAGTAAATCCAGGAAATTATCAGCGCACCCTCGTGAACACACCATGTTGACGATATACTGTTAAGCGGAGATTGAGATGTGGACATTGTGTGTACGACCAAGAGACTCAATAGTATACATCCGAGCTTTACGTTAATGTGACATCGACAAACTACTGTTCCTGTATCTAGACATACTGGTCACACGGTGACTAGATGGATCGGTTACCACTGCTTAACAAAAAGCAAAATGGACGGTCCAATATTTATATCTTAAGAGCTTCTTCCCGGTATGACAAAGAATTTCTCGTCCGGACAGTGTATTATGGAATCCAACTGGTTTTTACCTGACACACTAGAAGCAGACAAACTACAACCCAACGGTTATCCGTTGCTGTTTATAAAGCGTCTCAGTGACATAACTGGGCGAGATTGTGTTAACAGACCAAAAATGCCGATATTAATTGAGCTACCTTTCAAAGCAGACCACCTTAGGAAAGTGACTGAGAAGCAATAGACTACAATAAAATGGACGTTCAATGCAACAGAACCGCTGTTGCTTACGTCGGGGAGATCAATGCTGATGCGTTCGATTAAAAAAGCGCCGACGAGGTATTGTATTGTCAATGCAAATTCAGGTGTAGCTGCGAGATATCTATGTCAGGCGCACTAACCGAAGTTTACTTGCCGGACCAATCAATCCATTCCCAAGTGGTTACGCAGTTGAGTAGGATCCGTGACGGTAAAATCGAGTTACTTCAGTAGTCCTAAGGCATTTACGAGCGCTAACCACTGTGTTAACGGCGATGAGTCATTCACCATCCTAATCAGCAACCACACATTCACAGGTTAAGGGAGATGCCAATGTTGCCGATCGACAGCGGCCACTGCCTTGGATGCAAAGAAAGCGCAAAATGCACCAAAAAGACATTGCTTGATTACCTACCGGTCTTATATGACCTCATTCTGGTAAATTTATCATTAGAAGTGACCGAATCATTTCAGTAATTATATCTACTTGTTTTCCTGTTTAAAATTTTTTCACATAATTACATTAAAAAGGAAGTGGCAATATGCGAAAAAAAGCAAAGTATGAAAAGTAATGAGAATATATTTGGGAAGTAACAGGTACAAACTAATCTCTTTTCGTAAGTAACACACCTTCACTCTGGAGCTCGCTCTCAACGGTCGCCCAAAACTGCTCCTTATCCAGTTCTGGCCGTTTTTTCTTCAGTTCATTGCATTTGGCAAGTACTCTTGAAAAATGATTGTTACAAACCATACAAGCAAACCTTGCAAGAGTTGAACGATCGTCGACTACTTTGAAGAGGTTCAGCCCGTCTAATCTGTGGTAACGTCGAAGAGCCTCGCTAAACAACAATAAAACGATTAAACCGGACGCATTCACGTTACGCTCGATGTTGGTCTTCATGATACAAAATTTCTCTAACAGGACCAGAGGGTAATGGTCGATTGTAAACAGGTTCAACTTTCGGCGGAAAAGCCTTGTACACATCGTACCAGAGAGGCCGTTCATCAGGTGACATTGCACCCTTATTCAGCAAACTCTCTACTCTGGTTCATTGTCAACTTTGAACTAGGAAAAGTACCTTCTAAAGATAGAGGCGAACTTCTCATTCCTGCTTCCTAAAGCCGCCATAATCAAGCAAGAAAATTAATGGAGGAGGATGACTCAGTAATCGGGCACTTTTGGCGTAAGCAGAAATACCGCGGCTAAAAAGAAATTTCAGCTCAGTTCAGTTGAACAACTATGATCTGGACGCCGAAATGCGGTGGATCCAGCTGCCACAACTCATTTCGTCAGAAGACTAACAAACAACGGGAAAATGAGGTTGAACGCAAAGAAAATGCAAAAAAATGGAATCAGAACTGAAGTACGCAAAACGGTTAATAGCTAGATGCAAGAAGCTGAGTGTAAGAACGCCACTGACTGCGCGACTGTGCCATGTCCGATAGAGTCTACAACCATTGGTGTGGACAATCCCAAGATCCCCATCCACGAGGACGGCACGCACCAGTCTGACCAAGTCTCAGTCAATTTCTTCATGCCTCTGTTACGTCATCAACTGACCAGTTCATGGCTTCCTCTTCGCAAAGTGTCCAGAGACGATTCAGGAAAAAGCTATGTGGATATTACTCAAAGTTGACATACAGAGAGCGATGTGGGAAACTTGGACTTGACCCAGTTTGGTTTCGGATAATTAAGCTGAACATGTTTTCTTTACAGAAGCACAAATTGTCAAATTCGCAATCTTGAAAACGGTGTTCACATAACTTTAAACAGCAGATATCCAATACGTAACAAAGAGGTAAAGGTCATGATTCTAAAATTTACTACGAGAATCAGAGAACGTTTCTTTCTAACCCAATACTCAAAGATTTGGAACAAACTTCCAAGTGATATCAGAACATGCTATATATATATATATATATATATATATATATATATATATATATATATATATATATACTTTGCAATTTTAAGCTTGTGATTAGTAAGCATTTAACCGTCCAAAACGTGATTGAGATATTTGGGACATCACAGTTCCTAGATAACGCACTCGAAAGTTGTATCCATGGTGCCTGAATAAATTTCCGAAACACACTCATAACATTTCGGACAACAGCCCCTTTCATTACATTCTTTTCTCTCGGCCCACATATCTGTCATGTGATTGTGAAGAATCCTGATTCAATGGCAGGAACAAATAGCAGAACGATTCTGATTACTCTGTGTTACCTAATTTGCAATTGCGCCCATGTTTATTTCTGAAAATGTATTAATGAAATGTCATGGAAAGGTTGTACCATTATTTGATCTGCTCCTTTTAGGGAACAGCTTCTCGCATCGTCGAGAAATATACAATTTATTTATTTATTTGAGAAGCTAGTGTGCACGATACAACGTAGCTGCCGCCAGAAAGTACAGGTTCACATAGCGCTAACACCAGTGGACAATCGACAGTCTTAGGATCATAGAGACTAGACAAGCAAGCAAACACAAGGCGACAACCACGATAGTACCACCTTCCGGTCTTTTCTGTCCCGCGTTGCAATCAACCTTATTCCACCTAGAGCTCAACAGCACAATCTTTAAAAGAATAGTGTGGTCAGAAAAGGACAGAAAACATGAAGAGGCAGGCATCAACAACACGCCTGTGCGCAGTACTGACGTTTCGTTGTCACGCGACCACCAGTCGCAGTGCGCTAAGGCTACTGCGAGGGTTGTCCGGTCCCTACGCAGACTCGAACCCGCGCCCTCGGATTATAAGTCAAGATTGTGATCTTTAAGTCTACGAGCCGGTCAGAAAACAAGAGGCTGGCGCTGACTGAGCATCTTGCATAATGATGCCTTGATTCATGCACAGTGGACCCAAGCCTAGAAATGGATAAGGACTACCAACACACACCCGTTGTTGTAAAGTGAGTTATGCGAACCCGCTTTAGCTGAACGAGATAAACAATAAAATGGGAACATACACAACAAAGACGGACAACCAGTACGACAGCCACACGACGATGCGAATGAAAGGGGAGACAAGCGGGACAAAGGAAAAGCATGTACCAAGGCAAAAACCAGCCACTGTACGGAAAACAGCAAAAGGACGAGAATAGCGAATAAATTTGAGAAGATTCACGTTCGGTGAGTTGGCATTTATGCATGCATATCACATCATCCGAATGTGATACGTTTACTCTTGTACAATTCGCGCGATCATGGACAATGTAGAATGAGTTTTCTCGGTTATCAGGCCGCTCGACAACTATTGTCTTACCAGTGGGGTTCTTTTAGGGCTCGTCGCCAAGGCATTTCCCGATGCGACTGTTGCGATCCTACGACTCCTAACATAATTTGGAACAAACACGTATGGAAAAACTGAACACTCACAACGAAATCACGGCAAAGAATCAAAAATGCAACACAAATCCGGCACCAGTCCATAGCCCCGACCCCGGAAGGAAGACAATACCTCAAGCACGTGATCTATTCACACGCCAACACGAGACGGACCAAAAAGTGATGAAAACACACGATTGGTTTAGGTCATTCAATGCGCTTGTCGAATCAGCCTATCAGTTGAAGCGGAAACAGCACGCACCGTATAAAAATCAAAAGGTCGTGGTTAGAAAAAGTCCATGGTTTTGACTGATTCTAGTGGGAAATATGGCCGTTTTCCAACATCTCCCCAGTTAAGGAAACCCGTACCTAGGACGCCGGGGATCCAGTTGCAATGACCTTGGTGAAACGCGCTTCCAGCCGACCCATCTTGGTTGTCGGGAGACCCGTTCGGGTGGTGCATTTGGTTCCCCGATAAATGGATTAGGAATGAGCCCATACGTGTCAAGCGGTATTTCGAACGGCATTTCCTCCACTGGCTGTGATGTCACGGCGTGGGCGTAGTTGATTTTTGTGTCGTACCCACTTGTGCGACCCAACCGTTACTTCATGCAGTACAGAACCACGGCGACCAGTTACCACTGCTGGGACCCATGCTGGATGATCTTGCCTGCAATCACGAGCGTAGACCAAATCACCAATTGAAAATGTTTTCCCTGATGGGTGCACTGAGGTAGGTGATTATTTCTCCGACGGCAACGTTGCATCGAAGATAGTGCGTTGTTTCCTATCCATAAGGCATTCGGCAGGGGAGGATCCATTTGGTGTTGCCGGATTTGGAGTGTTCCTGTAAAGCACAAGGAAGTCATGAATGTTTTCATAAGTACCATCTCCTCGCATTTTCAAGAGAGTCCGTTTAAAAGTGTCCAAGAACCGTTCGACCTGACCGTTCCATTGAAGGTGATACGTTGGGGTGCAAATGTTGTTAATAACACTCCGACGGCAGAAATCCTGGAAACGTGCCGATATAAGCTGGGTTGCGTTATCTGACACCAAGGTATCTGGAAACCCATGCTGACTGAAAATTTCGCGAAGGGCAGATGTGGTGGACGATGTTGTTGCATGTGAGAGAGGAATGGTTTCGGGCCACTTGAAAGTTGTGTCGATTAGGGTGAGATGCATAATGCCGCTGATTCGACCAGAAAAATCGACGAGTAGGCGAGACCACGGCTTATCAGATTGGGTCCACGATTGTGGGGCGACACGTGGAGGGTTCTTGGCGGCCTGTCGGCAGCGGGGACACTGCTGAACCTCCGACTCTATTTGCTGGTCGATACCCGGCCAATAGATGTAGCTTCGGACGATGGCCTTCATTCGTCCTGCACCAGGATAGCTCGCGTGAACTTGGTGCAAGACGATCGGTCGAAGCGAAGAGAAGATGACAATGCGACGTGCAAACATTAAACAGGAATCCACTATGGACAAATTTGCTCGACGAAGATAAAGCTGTTGTAGGTCTCCAGTTGATGCTCTCGTGGGCTATCGGTGGCGAACATAATTAATTGCTTCCTGGAGGACAGGATCGATCCTCGTTTCTCTTTTGATGTCACGAAGAGTGACCGGAACAGCACGAAGAGCATCAGCCAGGTGGGAAGGAACATCCGATTCCATTGTGACTGCTGCGATAACGACATCTTCCTGCTCCTGTCGATTTGCACTGGTTAACCGAGACAAGACGTCGGCCTGACCGAAATCTTGCGTTTTCCCGTAACAGATGTCATAGTTCAGTAGAAAGGTTGCCCAGCGCTGCAATCTGCTGGCGGAATATGTCGGGATACTCTTCTTAGAGCCGAAAATGATCGGTCAGTAAGCTGAAGTGGCGACCGTAGACCATCTTATGGAACTTCCTCACGGTAAACACTAGTGCCAAAGCCTCTTCGATCTGATCATAATTCTTCGCCGCTGGCGTAAGGATTCGAGAAGCATGTATGATCGCCTTCCCCGATCCATCTGGAAATACATGGGAGATGACGGCACCGACGCCGTAGCTGGAGGCGTCTGCAGCGATTACGATCGGTAGCTTGGGATCAAAATGTGTTGTGAGGAGGTCGGAAACTAACACTGCTTTTAGGTGGTTGAATACACGTTTACATTCTGGAGGCCAGGACCAAACGCTGTCCTTTTTAAGCAGTTTATTCAATAGTGCTCTGGCATTGTGGAGAGCGGGTAAGAACATACCGTAGTGAGTCACTAGCCTGAGGAACGACCGTAGGGATGACACATCCTATTGAGCGGGTATTTCCTGGATCAAACCCATACTTTCAGAGTCAGGACAGCGGCCATTTTTGTCGATGACAAAACCAAGCTATTTGATGTCCGAGAGGAAGAATTGGCATTTGCCCGGTTGCAGGCGGAACTTCCATTCGTCAATTCGACGTAAAACCTCAGATATCCTTCCGTGCAGCTCGTCAGTGGTGCGACCAATTATAATGATGTCATCCAGGTAAGCTGCCGTGCCGATTACATCAGAGATCATGGGATCCATTATTTGTTGAAAAATAGCAGGAGCAGACTTGATGCCGAAAGGTAGGCGGTTGTACTGAAACAAACCGCGATGTATGTTTATGGTTAACAGCTCTCGAGACTCCGGGGAGAATTCCACTTGCAGATATGCGTCAGCTAAATCCAGCTTGGCGAAACAAGCTCCTCCGTTAAGCATAGTGAAGATATCCACAGGGATCGGTAGTGAATGACAATGGTCTTTCAAAGAAGCATTTAAATCGGTGGAAAAATCAACACAT